GTTTCATTATTTTTATTCATTTTGGAGAATGTTGAATCTGTGTTTTTTTTTTTTTTTTTGTGAGTGAGATGAATTAATGCATATTCATATTTATTTTAGAACTACAGTAACATCTTCTGATTTCTCTCAACATTGGGACCGGAGAGCTGTCAATAAATTGAAAAAAAGAAGTAACTTGCGTTACTTATTTGAAAAAGTAACTCTGATATTCTCTTGTAAATTAAAAAGTAATGCGTTACTTTACTAGAAGTAATCTGATTACGTAACTTGCGTTACTGGTAATATATTGCCCCCAACACTGCTTATCATTGTGCGGCGAATTCAAACGCTTCTCGCTGGATCTCACAGTGCTGTTCTGTAACAGTGTCGCGAAATCAACTTTGGCTCCCAGGTAAAGCTGTTCTGAGCTCGAACAAGTTTGTTTACGTCGCGATAAACGGCATGGTTTAGTTCCGCTATAGTTTCGTTTGCCGTTTGATGTTTCTCAAATGCAACAGAAATGGCAGCTCTTATGAGATGGATAACGCGGTGGTCTCGCCAGTGCGACCTCTCACAAAAATTAGTCGCACCGGCAGAAAAAATAGTCGCAAAATGCAAAGACTGAAGTTTGTCATCTGCAGAATTTCGTTCTGCATATCAGAAATGATTTCAATTGATGTTTTGGGAAAACGCATTTCACTAGATGTCTGCGCATTTGGTCGCAGTCTGGAGCCCTGCCAATGCAGCACTCGCTGTCATGTTTCTAGAGTGTTTGCCAGCGTGCTGTTTTATTGCCAGTAAAGCCCCGTCCACACATGTGGCAAATTCCAGCAACACTAATGTCATTGATTATTATTTATTAAAAAATTTTTAATGAGAGCTGGCAACTTCTGGCATCACGAGCCACCTCTGGTGACCACATGTGGGCGTGTCCAGCAAATTCGAGAAAAGTTTGAGTAAAGAGCGAAGACTTTGACAGTGGAACTCACACGTCTCCCATCTTGAGTACGAGCAAGCTAGGACAGAGAAGCAAATACTATTTCATTTTTTAACCTTTAATATTTTAGCACTGATGCGTATAGGTGTGGAGATGCTTTTACCAAGCTAACTGTGGCAGCAACGTGTATCATGACATGACTTAACCTTACAATGCAAATGTAGCAGCATCGTCGTGACATTCCACAGCATTAGAGTAAATTCACCGGAGCAAATAATCAATTTCAAGACAATTACTGTCAAATTTTAAATCACCTTCATTGAGCCATGTTCATGTCATTATGTGCAACCTTTGTCTTTTGTGAGGACTATTAATAAGTTTATAGCTTAGTTATTCTGCGTTATTCGTCTCTATCTATATACATGGCTATACTAAAAGAGATGCATGGAAAACAAATGGTTGTCAGTTGTAGTGATTTTAATTCTAATTACTATAAGTGACAGCAATAGTAACGAGTGGTGCTTACAGTACAGAGAGTCACGACAACAAGCAATAAAGATGCTGCATGTATATATACACATCTTAAGGTGTTTTGAGTGGTTGCTGGTGTGGTTGAGAGGTTACGATGTAGTTGCTTAAGTCCAAAGAGCCCAGCTCCAGGTCTCGCTATTTCTGTCTTTTAGCATTTTATTGTCAATAATATTCTCGAATGTTATGAAAGAGTTCGAAAGATTGTGAATTTGTTTTTGTGTGTTATTTAAATCTTCACTTTGCTTTTGGAAATAGATTTGTGCTGTTTATGAGTGGATGATAATTAGGGCTGAACGATTTTGGAAAATAATCTAATTGCGATTTTTTTTTTTTTACCAATATTGCGATTGCGATATAATATGCAATTATTTTTTTAAAGCTCTTTATGTTCTGTATTATTCAACAAAGACAAGCTATAAATCATTGTATAGTATGACCAACACAATATTAGATTAAAGATAAATTTTCTTTTCTGTAGGTCAGGCCTATATGTTACGATGAAATTAGGTGATGCATGAATTGATGTGAATGACATTTTTATTTAACAACTACAATCACAGTACATTGCAAAATACAGTAGAAACCATTATAATCAGTGACGCTGTCTACACTGGATGCGATGCGACGCGACACGACGAAACCCTACATTAAACTGATGCCTTGTTCTATCTATGACGTACTGACACAAAGTTAAAATGATTTGCACCGGTTGTTTTGTCGCATCCAGTGTAGAGCTGTTGCGGCGCGGCGCGACAACTGTAGCGTCCGGTATAGACACGGCGAGTGAAGCCGAGAGCGAGATATGCCTCGTCATATTTTCTGCATTTAGCTTTTAAATGACCAGCACCTGCCTGGGTCTGTGCGACTTCATCTTTGGCTTTTCTCTTTGCTTTCACAAACCGATCCATCTCCCATTCTAAGTTACGTCCTTTGGCTGTTTACTTATTTCTTTTCTTTTTCTGCTGATGGCCCGCGCTCGACTTGAAGCAGCGCTGCTTAGACCGATGGGTGTGTGTCATCAAAGTACTGCGAGAGCTATAAGAGAGCGCGGACGTCTCCTTATGCTTTCTCTCGCTCGCCGTACTTTGATGTCATACACGATCTGATCTTCAAGTCGAACACACCTCTTTACTCTCGCCTGTCACGTGACCGTGTAATCGCAGCCTCTGCGATTGAAAAATCACAATTTTTCATATCGCGATATTATCGCAAATGCAATTAATCGTTCAGCCCTAGATGATATTGCTAAAACTATGAGTGAAATTGGTTGTGCTGTTTCATGATTCAGCTGTGTCAGATTCACACATGATTCCCCGGAGTCATTGATCAGAAAACAGAGTTTAGAGTGCCTCAAAGACAATAACAAATCCATTTTGATGACATTTCTATTGATTCTCAGATCTCGTAGGGAACAGAAACTTCCATATTTGTTCTTGTTTAAAAACAACAACAACAAAAAAAGTAAAACTTTGTATTTGCACCACATTGCCGCCACCCCATGGCTGGAATGTATGTGTGTTTATTCCTGTTTTTCCCCTTCTTTTTTCTTGGAATCAGAGCAATTTCGTCATAGCAGTAAACAATATTTCCATTTTCTGCTGCCGTCAGAAGTGGATGTGTATGTTTTCATCTATTTGCGTGTCAGTTATGTATAGCCATGAGAAAATAAGGGTAATAGAAGCATGTTTGTGCCTGGCTGAATGATGGCCATTTTTACTCTAGATATATTAGCTTGGAATAAAACTGATTCACGTGGAGCACTGTGCTGACGTTAGATGAGGTTAAGATAAGGGCAGAAGGAAGATTAGTCTTCTAGAGCCCTCACAGGTTGAGCCATTCAAATCACTACAGTTTATCTTTATTCAGTGTAGTGTTGTCTTTCATCCAAGCAGTTCATCTTTGTACATTTTTATGAAATAAGGGAATGTGTTGAGCTAAGATTTGGAGTTGAAGTGGTCTGAATAGACTGGTTCCTCTAACAGCACCTTTCTTGCTTTCTTCAGGTAATCTTGGTGCAGGTAAACCCAGGAGAGGCCTTCACGATCCAGCGAGATGATGGTCAGTTTCAGTGTATCACAGGTAAGCTTTTCTTAAGTTTCTCTTGTGTTAAGAAGGATTTCTGTGTAATTTAACCCATAATTACATTAGTCTACGAACAAGTGGCATTTCATTTAGCCAAATCACGAGTTCAGATGATTGTAATTACCACTCTGAGACTTACCCCGTAATTAACTGCAGTTAAAGTGCTGATTAATACCTGTAAATTATTTTAATTGATTAGAGAGATTTGAGTCTCCTTGTTCCCTGATACTTGAAGGTACCATTTTTTTCTTTTTAAACGGTCGTAAATAACATCCCAGTTTCCTTAAATGCCTCCTCTAAAGTGTGAACTATGGTGTAATTTTCCTCTTTAATCTAGAGTTTAGATTTACATGGAATACAACTGGAATTTTCTATTTTGGTAGAGTAAAACCGGGTATTCCCTTGTAAAAATACTTTATAAGGTCCCAGTTTATGAGCCTGATAGTGATTTGGAGCATCTAGAAGTCCTTAATTTTCAAAACAAAAGTACTTTATTCAGGAAACTTGTTGCAGCATCCCTGGTTGGGTCAATGTCCTGAATGTAAAATGAATATTTTAATGAACTACTGTGGAATCCCTCCACTGAACTCACTTTCCACACGACTACATCATGACTCCTAGCAGATCCCCTGGTCTGAATCAACACATCATCGTTCACTAAAGAGAGCCATCCAGTGTTGGGTCTAATTGCCGTATGTGTTGGAAGCTCAGTCACAACAGTCAGCTAGTGTTTGGTGGGTCTCGGCAGGGTTGCAATGAGATGTCTTACACCCCCTCAGCTTGCGAAGAGCGTTTTTTGTCTGCAGCCATTGTGTGGGACGGTGCAAACACGCTACGAACTGCCAACCTCCCTGATTGGCAGTTGCTGCAATAGGAGGAAGTGGAGTGTGACTGTAATTGAAAGATTACTGTGC